TAATTATTCTCTGTTTCTCCCTTCCCACTCCACCAAATCTCTAGAACCACTAATAGACTTTTTCTCCCTTTCTATCCAGAATATTCTATTGTGCCTTTGGTCAGAACTATCATTATGTTGCTCGGTACCATCAAGTAGTTCTTCTGGCTTGAGGAGGCTGTGGTTCATGTGGGTTACTAGTCCTGTGGATTAGTTCATCTTTGTTGGTTTAAGTTTTTAAACATTAAGGTTTTTTTTTAATTGTGAATTAGGTAGGGAGTTTATATTTCAAACCATCCGCTCTGAATTCAACAGTTTAAATCATTCATCAATACATATCCCTCCTGTACTATATCCCATCTCTCTTCCTTGATCTCTCTCTTAAGGACCTCCATCCTCCCTTGCACCTGTCAGTGCCTGTCAACCTTCTAGTTTGTTGCTTCATCTCCTTATCCTTGCCTTCACCCTCTTGGTTATCTTCATACCTTTGGTATGCAAGTCTTTGTTTTGGTGTTTATTCTTCTAGTAGTGGTCTCCTACAGCATTTGTCCTTCTGTGATTATGAACTAAACACGCATCATTACTGTTCTCTAGGTCCATCATGTCATGAGGTGCTTCATGGTTTTGTCCTTGTTGTTTTAGCAGTGCATAGTATTCCATCATGTGTACGTACCAAGTTTCTTTATCTATTCTTCTAATGATGAGCATTTGAGTTGTTTCCAAGTTCTTGTGTTGTACTGAACATGGGAGTGCATATGTGTATTCCTATTATGGTTCTTACTTGTTTAGGGTATATGAGGTGGACCCCTTCCCCAACCCTCAATCCCCCCCTCCCACAAGCTATGTATTTAAATTATTTTTCAAAACAACCTTATCACCTTCAAAGTACTCTCCATTACACTTAATACATTTGTCAAATTTGAAATGCCATTTTTGGAAACACTTTTCAAATTCATTTGTTTGAATGGCTGACAGCACCTCCCTCATTTTTTTCTTCATCACTTCTGTGCCATCAAATCGCTGTCCTTTCATGCCCCTCTTCATTCATGGAAACAAAAAGAAGTCACACAGAGCGAGGTCAGGTGAGTAAGGTGTGTGGAGCAAGAGAGGCTTGCTGTTTTTTGCCAAAAACTGGTGCACTGAGATGGCTGCATGAGCAGGTGCATTGTCATGGTGGCAAAATTAGTTCCCCGTCTGCCACAAATCAGACCGTTTTGTCCCACACTATAATGCAATCTTTGCAGAACCTCTAAAGAGAAAGCTTGGTTAACAGTCTGACCTGGTGGAACAAACTCCGAAAGCACTATCTCCCTCACATTAAAAAAAGCAGTGTTTTGGGGGGTTGGGGGCTACCACCCTTGTATATCCAACAAAGGGATTGCTGGATTCTTTTGAAGTTCTGTTCTCATTGGTTTGATTTAGCACTGTACCACTCTGCATGATGGTTATACATGTTTTTAGACCCACCAGCAGTGTATGAAAGTTCCAGTCTCTCTGTACCCTCTCCAGAATTTGTTGTTTTCTGTTTTAATTGGGCTGTTGTTGGTATAAGGTGATAGCTCGTTGTTTTGATTTGCATCTCCCGAGTGGCTAATGATTGTGAGCATTTTTTTATGTTAGCCATTTGGGTGTCACTTTGGTCAACTGTCTGTTCATGTTCAAAATCCCAAAATGGGATTTTGTTTTTTTATTGAAGTATTGCAGTTTTCTATAGATTTTAAAATTTATTCCCTTTGCCACTGTATTGTTGCTAAAAATATATTCCCGTCATTGTGTTCTCTTTTTTACTCTTGATGAAGTCTTTTGATGCACACACGTTTTATTTTTCAGTAGGTCCCAGTCATCTATTTTGCTTTCTAATGTGTATGCTTCTCTTGTTATTTTGATAGTATGTCTGTGGCTTTCCATGAGGCCCTTAAGCTTGCCCCTCTTTTCTCATGATCTTATTGCTTTAAGGCTTAAAGTTTATTTCGGGGAATAGTTTTAGGGTTTCATCTGGTCCCAGTTGCTCCCCCAAATCTAGAGTCCATGAGAATTTGAAATTCTGCTTTGCATTTTCCTTCTTTTGATCAAGATTCTTCTATAGAGTCTTTGGCCAAAATGTTCAGTAATCATATTGGCTGCAAATTTTTAAAAAGCAGATCATTAGTTCTTTCTCCCACAGGCAGCTGGTAGGTGTGAGAATCCTTGTTTCCCCCACATTCTCTCACCAACAATATATTGTTCAATGTGCAGATCTGGTGACAAATGGCATCTCGTACAGGTTTAATTTGCTTTTGTTTTATTATGAGCAGAGACAGAGGAAATTTCCATAAGGTTGTTTCTTGTTCCTGAGAACTATCTCTTCATTTCTTCAGTCCATTTTTCTATAAGTTTGTTAGCCATTGTTTTCTCTATTTTAAAAGAGAAATTTTAGGAATAATAATCCTTTGTCAGTAATGTTACAAATATTTTCTCAAGTTAGCATTGTCAGATTTTCTTATTTTCTATTTTTGTGGAAGAGGCTTAGCAACAGATTTTCTGTTTTGTTTTGTTTAATTATCAGATTTACAAATCTTTTAGTTGCTGCTTCTGAATTTTTAGATATAATTGGGAAGATTTTCTTTACTTATGCATAGAAAAATTTAATCCTTTAAAAAAAAGTATTTGTTTTCATTTTACATATTTAGGTTCCTCACCCATGTGGAATTTAGTGAGAATATCATCTGATTTTATTATTTAGCATATTTATTTACACCAACATTACTTAATTAAAATTCTGTCCCTTCACCCTGTTGATTTTTATTGGATTTCAAGTGTCCAGTGCAGTTGGGTGTATTTAGGGGTTTTCTATAATGTTCCACGATCTGTGTTCAGGGGACAGTACTGTACTGCTGTAATTACAGAACCTGTGCTTTCTACCTCCCTGTATTCCAATGCCCTCTCATTTCGGCGTTTTCCTGTTTGTTCGGGATAGTTTTTCCTGACTTTATATTCAACTTGAAGATTGACAAATATCGTTTGTCAATCTATTGACTTTATAAATATCTTAAGATTGACACATATCATCCCTCCCCCCCTCCCACAACCGCCCACTGTCTTTAACACTCAGACCGTCGTTTCCAGACTATTCTTTATCCGTGTCAAGTATGTAACTTTAAAACATACCCAAAGTGAACCCACTAGCATAGTAATGACACGATTTGAGGGGGGGAGGGGGTCAGCGAGAGTTTAGGAAGGGGTTCGGCAAGATGTGAGAGTGTGAGCACTGGAGGTCCGAAAGGGAAAAGGCAGTTGGGCCTTGGGGTGGACTGGGAAGAGAGCCTGATACTGGGGCCTGCGCCACTAGGCAGATGTCAGCGGAGTGTCACACTGCCCTGCGGCAAGACTCCTGCTCTAGGTGGACTAGAGTGGACCTTCCCCTTTCTTCAGCCCCACCCACAACGTAGGCTCTCGCCCGCTGGGGCCCTTTACCTTTAAATCTCCCTTTTGGGGAACCACCGTGGCCACCTCTTCCTACCTGCTCTCCGTTCTCTCCGCCGTCTGGTCGCTCTCCTCCCCGCCTCGCTCTGCAATTGGCTCCTTCCGAGTCGGCCCCGCCCACGCGCGGCGGCGGGGTCTGATGACGTGTTTCACCCGAGGCGCAGGGTGAAAGTGTAGCCACCCGGGAAGGCGAAGTGCAACCTGCGTCTCCGCCCCGCGGAGCCGGCAGCTTCGGAAGCAGGAAGCTGAAAAACAGGGGGTCCCGGCACCGTTCCCCGGGGAAGTGCCGTCTCCGTTCAGCTGCCTCAGCGCCATGGATTCAGTCCCTGCGACCGTGCCTTCTGTCAGTGTTTCTCCAGGGGACCCGGAGCTGGTGGGACCTCTGTCGGTGCTCTACGCAGCCCTGATAGCGAACCTACTGGAGGTGACCGGCCGTTCCCAGGGAGACCCTAGCTTTCTTTGTCAGGCGGGGAGATGAGTTCCGAGCGGAGTGGGTGCATTGACTGACAGCTTGGGGGTGGAGAGAAATGGAGTGTGTCGGGCCCGTGGCAGGTGGAACGTTGCAATACTGTTTTAGGAAGGCTATTGGTAAGGCATTTGAGTTTTTCTTCATTTATTAGCACAGCACTCAACAATGAGACAGACATTATGTTACATTCTGGTGTGTAGTCTTGAGCAAAACAAAAGCCAAACCTACTGCCATGGTGTCAGTTCCAGTGCATGGCCACTGGGACATGGTAAAATTGCCCCCGAGGGTTTCCAAGGCTGTAAATCTACATGGAAACACTGCTACATCGTTCTCCCACCAAGTGGAACCATGAACCTTCAGTGAGCTGCCAGGTGCTGTAACCACTGCACCAACAGTGTTCCCCAAGCAAAACACACTAGTGTCCTGCCCCTTCCAGTCATTTTCCTAAGATCCCTAAACTGTTGGAATGAGGACAGGATGGGGGTTGTGTTTTGGACAATGGCAAGATGGTAGATGTGGAGGACAGTGGAAAGTGGAAGAGGACAGAAGCAGGCATTTACTTAATGCCCTCTCTTGGACAAAACACTTTTATGGCACTGAGACAGTTAAATTCTGATCAGTTATAAGGAACTGTCTGAACAAACAGCATTTGTCTTTTAAGAGTGGAATAGAATTAGAGTTCAAAATCTTAAAGAGGAATCACACATTATTAGTGTTATTATCAGTAGTTTGTTTTTATTTACACCTATAAAACTTTGATTACTTCAGTGGGTATTTCTGTGTGTGTGTGTCTTGTGTGTTTTAATCCAAGAGAAAAGCATGATTCCAAGGAATTCTAGCCATGTGTTACACAATATAATGTGATAGAGTTTTTGCAAACTGGAAATACCAGCTCAGTTAAAGACATTCAGAAATAAAATGTTTACAAACTGTCAAACAAGAACTAACTATGAGGGTGCCAATTTCCACTGATGAGTCAGAAAGAACCATTGCAGATTTTTTAGATTGAATTTGAATTTTTATGCATGATTATCTGTGACTGCTTTATTGTAAATATCTTTAAAGCTTCCCATTCAAATTTCTGTTTCAGCTGGTTGCTACATTACCTGATGATGTTCGACCTGGGCCTGATTTTTATGGGCTGCCATGGAAACCTGTACTTATCACAATCTTCTTGGGAATTTTTTCATTTGCCATTTTCTTCTGGAGAACCTTCCTTGCTGTGAGTAGATTAAATTAATTTATAGGTGTGTTTTGATTTATAAATACAAAGGCTATTATGTAATCACTTGACCTTTTGTTTCTTTTCAGTTACTAAACACAGTACTAATACTTGCCTATACTCCAAGCTAAGCTTGTAATGTAATCTAATGTAACCTTTATTGGTAGACTTCAGGAAACAAGACATTATGAGTTCAAATCCTAATGGAAAAATGTCAATTTATATGGAAATGTAAAAATTAAATAGTATCAGATGGGCATATATACACTATTAGTAGAATCAGTAACAATTGTGAGGGTGCTTGACACAATCGATGGATGTGTGGATTGTGATAAGAGTTGTACAAGCCCCCAATAAAATGATTTTAAAAAAACTCTAAGGACGTCACAGGGCCAGGCATTGTATTGTTTTGTTGAACATAGGGGCACTATGAGTCAGACTGACTGAGCAACACTTAATAACAACAACAATATTGGAAGTTTGTAATACCATAACTGATCAGCTAAATATAGGAGCCCTGGTGGTGTAGTGGTCATGAGTTGGGCTGCAACCACCCGATGAGAAAGACAGGATGTTCTACTCCCGTACAGAGTTAACAGTCTCGACAACTTACAGGGGCAGTTCTACTCTGTTCTTAGGATCGCTGTGAGCCGTCACCTTCTCAGTGGCAGTGAGTTTGATTTTTGGAATTAATCAATTACTATCCTAAATAACTAATCAAGATCTCCTACAAGGACATTTAAAAGGATAGTATATATTACAGGGAAAACTTGGCAGTAACCTGAATGATCCATAGTAAGAATCATTGTGTGTCCATATAGTGAGATACTAGATAGTTCTTAAATTTTGTATTTTTCAAAGACATTAAGGAACAGAAAATGCTCATAATTTAATGTTGTGGAAAAAAGGAGAAATCAGTATTTTCAAATATAGATAAATTGTATATTCTTTAATCTTACACAGAAAAATTATTACCAGGAAATGCTACAAAAAATAAAAATACTTATATCTTGAAACAGGTGATTTTTAAATTATTTTTCTGTTATATATTTTCTAATGTGACCAATTACAATTGTGCTTAGAAAATATCTTTTTATTTAGAAATACAGATTACATAGTATCCAAAGGCACTATTAAATTTTTTATTCCTTTGAGTCATTTTTTTCTCTGGAGGGTCTATTTTTAAGGAGCTCTTGTAGTGCTGACATGTAAATATTGGGCTGCTGATCACAAGGTGACAGTGCAAAGCCCTAGCTGCTGCACAGGAGAAAAATAAGGCTATCCTTAAAATCCTATACAGGATTTTGACTCTATGAGTCAGAAGCAACTGATGACAGTGGTGCAGTTTATTTGAATATGTATTTATGTATGCTGATTTATGTATACCGAGGATTGTACTAGCAGCATGTCTTGAGTCTTTTTTTTTTAACTCATGCATTTTTTTGGAGATAGTTTATTTTTTCACAGCCAATGTGCCAACCATATTATGTGCATCATAGCTCACGAAAGACAGTGAGCAGTTGGCAAGCCATATAATGTATGTGTTGTTTATGTAAGACAGTATTTTAAAATGAAAATAGCTTACTATATTTCTGGTGATAGTAATAATCACTATCATAATCAACCTATCGAGCATTTTATACTCCAGATTCCTTACATGTGCTACTCCAGATCTGTTGTTATCTCTGTAGACTCATTTGGGCAGTTACAGAATTTCATTCCATATAAATGAAATCACACATTACATACTCTAATCTGTTTGACTTCTTCCACTCATTGTGAGGTGTAGCAGTAGTTTAATTCCTTTTATTGTTAGTAGTAAAGTTTTGTCTATTCATCTGTGATATATATAAAACTTCTATCTTGTGTTTTTCACTTATAAGAACTTTACTATATTCTTATAAACTAATGACATTTTTTTTAAATAGAAAGAACTAACTGGTTTTGTGATTAAATTAATCTATACATGCCCATTCTAGAAAAAACTGAAAGCATAGATTAAAACTGTCTATTACCAGAGAGGCTATAATTGTCGATTCTGGGCTAAATATATTTCCAGATAGCCTTCTGTATAGCTATCGTTCCAATTTTAGATAAATTATATTTTATTATCCATACTGTTTTTCGCTTTCAGAGTGTTATTTATACGTAATCATTTTTTAATCATTTCATAATAATTAAAATGTTACACTAATGTTAGACTTTAAAATTAGTTCAGATTTTTTTACTGCTATAAATAAATAACTGAAATAGGAGGAAAAACAACTGGGAATATGAAATTTACAAAAAAGTGGACCAATAGAATTAAAAAGAAAACATGTTTTTCTTTTTTTTAAACTCACCCATGTTTTTCTTTATGCCTTTGTAATTGTTTGTTTTGATTAATGTTGGATTACGTTTTAAAAAAACAATTATTTTAGGATTAAATATTATGATTATGTATAGCTTTAATTTTCTTCTTTGGCATCACAAAATTTACTTTCATTTAGAAATATACATTCCTATAGAAAATACAGGAAGATTCCAAAACCAAAAATGAGGATCAAGTAACCCATTACCCAGAAATATTTTTACCCATGCTAATGAGTTTTATTTGCCTTTTTTTTCCTCCTTCTCCATTTCTTCTCCAAATAGCCATATTTATGTAGAAGCTGCATATATATATTTGATTTATATGTATACACACAATCTGGTTAGACAATATTTGATGATATATATGTCTGAAATCCCAACCACCTAAATTTTTTTATATTAAAAGTTTAGGGTACATCCAATGGTTTGTAATAACTAAGAGGTGCTACCCTGCGACACACATCAAAATTGATCATTACTGGGAGGGAGGGAAAAAAAAAGAAAATACTAACTTTACTGCATTATTAGGTTGAAGATGTTTCAGTGTACCTGGGAATGTACTCTAATATTTTTAATTCATAGAAGGGCACACTGTACACTATATACTAGGTAAAGCATTTGACTTTTAGTAAATGCAAATCGTATTTAATTGTTAAACTTTTATACAAATTTGACTTAAAGATGGGTTTAGGAACAGAACTCATTTGCATATAAATTGGCATTCTATTTGCATATAATGTGGTGTTTACACAACTTCAAATCATCTAACAGTCAAAACATCCATCATCTATCATGGGTGCATGACTTTACATCCTCCTATGTAGCAAGCACTCTATTGTGTAGCTTTTTATTACCAAGTTAGGAGTATATTGTATACTTTTGCCTTTTAAATTATTTGAAAATTTAGTTATGTTTTAGAAACAGTATTTTTAAAAACTAATGCATTTTCAATCATATATATGTATATATAGGTTTATCATAGTATAGCCATTTCTCTATTGTTGAGCATTTGTTTCTAGCTTTTTGCTCAGTAAGAATATTTTAGTGAACAACATTGCATATAAATTTTTTTCTGTGTTTTGTGTTTCTTTGGAACTCTTCCTAGAATTATTGTCGGACCACAAAGTTCGGCCAGTGTGTACTTCGAATTAGTACCCTTTGATTCATATTGTTAGCTGGTGAAAGCATGCAGATTTCTTGCGTGTTTCTATTTATACATTGTATTTTTTAGGTAAATTGAAGTGTTCATTTCTAATAACAGAAAAAGAAACCTGTCATCTATACTTTATGCAGTATAAACACAACTGGTTGTTCTTAACATTCATTTTTCACACTTCTAGTGCCTAGTAGTTCATACTCAGGAGGCCAGCTCTAGAGAGAACATTCTCTCTGCCTGTCAGTTCTGCGAAGCGCCCTTGTCTCTGCCACTTCGGTTCCTTGGCTCCTTGGTGATTTCCATGGGCATAGCATTCCCCTCTCGTCGTTTCCTTCTCAGTACCTGATCTGCGCATTTCATATTTTGAAGATGATTGGTTTAAGATGTATTCACACTAATATATGGCATATTAACATAACAAGGAAAACGCTTCTCAAATGGGATTATATCCACATGTTTTGGGGGGGACACAATTTGAGTCCATTACAACCTGATACCTGGTTATTGTGGGTTTTTACCTGAAATGTCATTAATTCATAATGCATTCTTACGTGACATTGGGATTTCTCACTTCATGCAGAATCTTGCTTATATGTTATTTCTGTCTTAAAAATGGACATCTTCACCTCTGTCAACACATCCAACCAGTCTTTGGACTTTTCTTTCTGTAATTGAGATTCTTTTAACTATATTAATTCAGGACATAATAGGACCATAGTATATTGGTGAGTTTCATAATATCTCTGTGGAACAATTATGCATAAATGAACTTTGTAGATGAAAAACTTACAACTGAAGCTTTAAAAGTGACAAAAGCACTGGATGCAAATCTTTCTAAAAATTTAATGCTTTTAAAATTTCCCGTTAGGCATATTAGTTTTAATGTCCCCTTAAACAATTGATTTTAAAATCACTTAAAAGGGAAGAATTTCCACTCGTACCCCCACCGCCACCCTCCGCCAATTTCTATGAGGAATCCATTGACCTCATGGGGCTTTCCCTCCGAGGAAGAAAAGAGGGACACTAGGTGGCTAGAAGGAGCAAAAGTGGAAACTGTTTATATTTCCTACCCTCACTTTATTCTCTCAAAAACTTTAGCACCTGTTTAGATTTTTACATGGTTATATCAGCTTTATGCCCTGACCTTTGCTCATCAGTCTTGGCATTTGACTTTTGGAACCCTGTTCCTACTCTCAGTTGCAAACTCCTTCCTCTTCCTCACTTTCTTCCACTTGCGGGTTTAGATTAAAGGGGACAAAGAATGCTTGACGTCTCCATGGCAAGGCTAGGACATTAGAGAAACAGTGTTGTAATTCTGAATGCATTTTCCTATAACCTTATTAAAATACTCAATGCTTAGATACTGAAATAATCTGAGCTATCACGGATTACTATGATCTGAATATCTGATCATCATATCATATGGTATCATATGAACTTATGATCTGGTCTGAATATCTGATCATATATAGCACTTGACAGGGGAAATGTATTCTGATCTTCAAAGAAATAAACTCAAGACTCCCTGCCATCAAGTCAGTTCTGACTCTGTAGTACCTCTTTATTGTTTAGATGCTGCTGCGTACATTTTATTATCACATAATTCCGTGATGTCATTGAGGGAGCCAGTGTTTGGGAGATGTTTTTTTTTTTGCCTGTACATGAAATTGTCATTTCTATTGTGGTTCCTGCATTTTTTCCTGGCAGTCTTTCTGTACATTTCAGATTTGATGACAATACTTTCAGTGGGCAGGGAAAATCAGATGATGTGGGTTCTTAGAATTATTTTAAAGTTCATCATTAGGCAACTTTTTAAGTAGAATTTTTAAAACATGCTCTCTTTTTTTGCCTACATTTAATGCTTTATGTCCCTACATTATATTAAAAATTCACACACAAATGAAAATGGAAAAACTGCCAATACACGATTTCTGCCCCCTATTATTTTCTTTATTTTAGTTTTATTGGCACTAATCTCCATATCATACAATTCAATACTTAAATCATATCGAGAATTGTACAATCATTACCACAATCAATTTTAGAACACTTTCTAATTTTTTATGGTTAAATCGCTTTTAAAATGAGTTGTATAAATATGCTTTTAATAAGTAGAAAGAGAAGTATCTAAGTGCAAAGATTATGTTTTTAATTCTATTTTGTCTAAGACTTTTTGAATTATCACTGTTTCTGAAACTCATTTTAACTATTTGGGGTTGCCAAAGAAATTATTTTAGATAAATGACTAATTAGAGTATTTACATGTTATAAAAATGCCTCATTTCTGTTATTAAAGTACTTGGCTATTAACCCTGATGTTCATTCACTAGATTTATAGACATTCCTTTGTTTGCAAAATCAGGTAGTTTTTCTTAGAAAATATTAAAGAACTACCACTGCCAATTTGATATTCTTTTATAATTCTCTTAATTTATGTTGCTGAACCAAACTACTGTGGTTTTCATTTGGTTTTGATCTTGACTGTTTTACTAGGAACTAATATTTTTATTAATGAAATGATTTTGATATAAAATTTAATTTCTTTCTCTTCTAGGTAAAGAGTAGAGTATATCAAGGTAAAATTTTAAGCATATTTTGTTATTTATATTCTTTCATTTTTGGAATTTGTTGTGCATTTTATTTAAAGTAGAAATAGATGCAGTATCTCCTGGTGTGTGATACTAACTTCTGAAAATGTTGTTACACCACTAACTGACATGGAAATGTGAGGGATGGACAGTGGGAGTAGAAGAGACAATTAGTTTAATTTGGGGTGGATTACTTTGAAGGACTAGGCGAACATTTGAGTAGAGTGTTTAAGGAGGCAATTGACTGTATATATTACAAAGAGAGTTTAAAGTTTGAAGGGTAAGAGGAGTATGTTATACAGGGCTTAGGAAATAAGTAAAGATTAAGAAAACAATCTGCCTGTCAAGAAGCTCATGACCTTGTGGCAGGCACAGATAACTACAGGCATTGTGTGTACCTTAAAAAAAAGTTGTCCTCCAGTAGAATCTGTCTCAGGATGGTTCTTGTGTCTAAAGAGTAAAACTGTGTCCATAGGATTTTTCTTGGCTTATTATTTTGGAAGTAGATTGCCAGGTCTTCCGTCTGAGGCACCTGTGAGTCTGGAAATTAGTGTGGCTTACACTATTTGAAATAAGATCCCTGTGGAAATGTGAGTAAGCAAGCACTAAAGAATACTGGGTTTAAATTTAGATGAAGAGAAATTCTAGAGAGGGAGATTTGGAAGCAATTGGAAGAAAGATAGTAGAGGAGATGGAGCTAACTGAATAGTAGCACATAGATCGATGCATGCTGGCTTGTAAACATTTAGTGGAAAATGGATAAGTCATATGAATAGTAAGAATTGATGCTAAATATAATTTAAACTAGCAGAATTTATAACTTCACTTGTACAGCCGTCAAATTTGGTTGACATGAGTTGGAATTGGCCAAATGGCAACTAGTTAGGCTGATTTGACTTCATTTTGGCCTTGATAACGTCACTGTCTACACAACCACTGTGGTCAGTGGGTTAGACAGAGCATTTGCCAGACGGTTGTTTTGACTTTCTTTGCTCTTAAAGCTTATTGTTGTTAATGTCAGCTTTTCTTCTGAGTTATTGGTATTTTGTTAATCAAAGGCGCTGTAAATAAGTTATGTGCTGAGATGGAAGATACTTGTGGATGTTTACTTTCTCAAACATGTATTTAGAGCTTTCTCCTTGCTGCAGACCTTGCTACTGATTAAGTACTGAAAATGCTATTTTGATAGGGCAAATAACATGTAAGCTGATGTTGATACAATGCACGTTAACATATGTGAGCACTATTCCAGAGCTAATGGTTTGGTGAAACATTCAGCATTTAAGGCGATAATTTGAGGCCTGGAAATGTAAATCAGTATGTGTGTATTTTTTATTTCCCCTTCATGAATGTCATATTTGAAGTGATTCCATTTTCTGACAAGAAAGGTACTTAGTGAAAGGAGAGAGATTTTACTCTATTTTCCCTTTTAAAAAAAATTGGAATCTCATAAAAAACAAGGGCTAATACATTTTTCTTCAGTTTTAACATTTGTACATCTTTATCGCCATTCGTCTCAGATCGTTAGAGGGTCTTTGGCACCTAACAACCCTAAGTGCTTTGCCCGCAGAGTGTCCGAGAACATGCCTGTGCTGCTAAGACACTCAGCAAGTCATTTGATATAGTGATCCATATTGCTCTCACAGGTTTGTTTTTTCACCCCCTTTTTAGTTTCTGAGCAACAGATTTCTGAGAAGTTGAAGACTATCAGGGAAGAAAATAAAGAACTTCTAGAAAAATTGTCAAAATATGAACAGAAGGTATAAATGGTCATCAAGTTTTTTCATTTTTTGCTTCTGCATAGTTCTAACTTTGATTATTTCCATGTGCCTTATAGTCCATTATTATGGTACTGTAATTATAGTCCATTATTATGGTACTGTAAATATAGTCCATTATTATGGTACTGTAAATAAGTAATATTTTATTATTTTCTGTGAACTTTGTGAATCTCATGCAGTCGTGTGTATGCAGCACTGCATTCTTTTATAAGGGGTCACCGACTTGAGGTTAAGCTTTGATCATGCCATAATTTATGTTTCTGAATTTTGAGTGCTTTGTTTTATACTTCTACAGATCAAGGAGTCCAAAAAACATGTTCAAGAGTCCAAGAAACAAAATATGATTCTCTCTGATGAAGCAGTTAAATTTAAGGTAAAACTCTTTTCGGAATGGTGTCCTAAAAACAAAAGTAATATTAGAGTAATTCTTAATCTTAAACTATGTATTTTTTTGTAGGATAAGATCAAAGAGCTTGAAGAAACAAATGAAGTTTTGGAAGAAAGAGCTAAAACCTTGCGTGCTCTGTTACACTCTGAACGAGAACAGAATGGGAAGAATCAGGACTTGGTAAGAGTTGTACTGCCTGTAATGTGACCTTTGAACTATTTTGCACATGGCCATTACCTAGAGTGAGAGTGGGAGTCAAGGAAGTTAAATCCACTTTTGCCCATATTTTGTAGAACTTGAATGGGCCTACAAATTTTTTCCTCAACCTTCGGTATTTTTCATGTTGCTTGGCTCTGCTCTCAGAAACACATAAAGCAACTAAGAAACTGTAACCCTACCATTTTGTTTTGTGTGTGTGTGCAGTTCTTTTCAAAATAAAGAGATTTTGAGTAATTTTAGAATTACATAAAAATCATAACGATAGGTCAGAGTGTTCCTGTAAGCGCCATACCCAGTTAAGCTTCGTGGCCCGACCCAGGTGTGGTTTGCCGGCTTTCCCGCTGTAAAGCTGCTTGGCTGTATTCTTTGGAAAGAAGTTTTTGGGCACAGTCCACAGCTACAAAGAGTTAATTCCTACTTCTCTGAGAATGCAGTGTCCCATAAACTGTTTGGAATTCTTCTGTATGGGAGATTCATTTCTTCTTCCTCAAGTCTTACTATTCAGACTAAAGACTTTCAAAGCGACCTTGGGGAATTTTTTCCCCTCTACCGTTAGGAACAATCATAGATTTGAACTGTTTTCTCTGGAAATTTTTCTATTTTCTTTGGTTTCATAGTTTTGTTGTCATCTATCACATTATCTTGTCACCAGGAAGGTCACAGATGCCACGAAATATTTCTGCCTTTAATTAATCTGTCATCATGTCTTAACACCCTTGACTTTTCCTTTAGGCTAAAACTGGTTCCTCTGCTTTGACCTGAAACATAGGGCATGGTTATGGGACATGTTTTGTTAATGTTTTCTTATGTTTAGCCTACTTTCAGTCTGTGTGTTGAAGTCCTCGTTAATGTGTTCCACTGTTTCTGTGTGGCAGATAGTGGAAAAAAAGAAGGCTATAGAGAAGTTAAAGGATGTCATTTCGATGAATGCCTCAGAGTTCTCAGAGGTAAAGTACACACAGCTCCTGAAGAAACTACATTCTGTTGTACATTATTATATTTTGGCTTGATTGAGGGGCAAACATCTATTGAGGGGCAAATATTTTAAGAAGTGGAAATTACATGTCTAGTTAAGAAAGTATAACTTTATAAATTTTTTCTTGGGAATTATTTCATTAATAGAGGTATTTTGCATTAGGTTCAAATTGCCCTTAATGAAGCTAAACTTAGTGAAGAAAAGGTGAAATCTGAATGCCATCGAGTCCAAGAAGAAAATGCTAAGCTTAAGAAAAAGAAGGAACAGGTAAAGAAAAAGTAATGCCGCATATTATGTAAATTAGAGAATTGAATATAACTGCCTCTTGAATACCTTTTCTTAGACCCTTTTGAGGGTAATGAGCTTTAAATGCAGAAATTGGGTTAGATTTGCGCAGCTTAAACTGAGTACATCATTCAGCTCTGTCTTCTGGGTTTCCTGTCTTTCTGAATTGTTTCTTATAGCTTCACAGGGGTGATAGATATAGTTTTTAGAACAAATATTTAAGTAATTTAAAGCCTTTAGTGGACAGGTATTGCTCCACTGAACAAGGAAGTTTATATAATTGGGAGTTCTCAAGTTGGGAGACGGTGAGATGTGCTTTGCTGTGGTTGCTGGAAGTGAAGTTTTTGAATTGACTGTAGGAAGGCTTTTTGAAGGATGCAATAAACCGGATTGCCTCCCTTGAAAGCTCTCAAGGATGTTTAGGGGCCCTGTTACCCTTCCTCGTTCACATGGTGCTGACACGATGTGCTTTAACTTGTCAGTTACAGCAGGAAATACAGGACTGGACTAAATCACATGCGGAGCTCAGTGAGCAAATCGTATCATTTCAGAGGTCTCAGAAAGATTTGGAAACAAAGCTTCTTCACAAAGATGATAACATTGATGTAAGTTAATTTTCATAAATACAGGCTTAAATCTGCTTACTTAAAATTGAGAAGCGGTTGCTGATGCCCTTTTTGCCTTTTGCTTCTCTTCTAGGCATTGACGAATTGCATTACACAGTTAAATCGGTTAGATTGTGAATCTGAATCCGAGGATAAAAATAAAGGTGAAAGTGGGTCAGATGAATTAGCAAACGGGGAAATGGGAGGTAAGGTCAATGTCAGGGAAGCTGGATTCCTTTTTACCTTTCAGTCTGTAAGTCGTTGATGCGACCATTTGGCTCGCTGAATTCCCTGAGACATACAAGAGTGCTTCAAAAAGTTTGTGGGGAAAAAATGAAATTAAAAGATCATGATTTTTTCCAAGAACCTCTTTAAGCTCCCTCATGTGTATGTGCCTCAGTGATAGGTGTGTTGCTGGTGATTGTTTAACCATGAGCATGCAGAGAACACTGACTTCTGTTTTCCCTCCCGTTGGGGACTAGAGATGTGGGCTGGCACTGGAGCAGCATTAGGTGTGTCTTACATGTCTATGCAGTGAACACTGTAGAATTAGGGTATACAAGGAGGGGAAGCAGAGGAGTCCTGATGGCACCGTGGTGGTTAGGTGCATGGCTGCCAGCCAAGAGGTTGGCATAAACCTACTGGCTGCTTCCTGGGAGAAATCTGAGGCAGTCTGCTTCTCGAATGATGTATAACCTTGGGGACCTCATGGTGCAGTTCTTCACTGTCACACAGGGTTGTGGTGAGAACTGTAGGGACCAGTTCTGTGGCAGCATGTTTGAGGAAGAGAAACGGATTATGTAACTTCGTGGAAGTGACATTTGATTTGTTGGGGTAATATGTTATGCTTTAGGTGAACATTTACACAGAGTTATGTTCCCCATTAACAATTTTTATACGAACTGTTCACTGACATTAGGTATGATTCTGAGTCTGCCGGCATTCTTGTTATTCCCATTCTGTTTGTTCTGTTTCCATTGGTCTAGCTTTCCTTCCCCTCCTTGCCATCTCGTCTTTACTTCTTTACCAACATTTACATTTACAATGGTAAATGTTGACCATTGGGTCTCACATAATTGGTTGAATGAGACACATTACTTAGGGTGAGAGTTGGTTTTATAAAATGTGTTAGTCTGGGTTGACTAGAGAAACAAGTTTATAGACACTCGTGTATGGGAAAAAGCTTTATATACAAGAGCAGTTGAATATTGAGAAAACTTCCCAGCCCACTCCAGTCAAGTCCATAAGTCCGATAACAATCTATAAAGTCCTCATCAGACTCACGAAACACATGCAATGACACCAAATGTGGGATGATCACAGGCCTTGTGGATCCAGTGGCGTTGTAAGCATCTTAGCGGTGGTGTGGGTCTCCACGTGGCTTCTCCAGGTTCAGGGCTCTCGCTGCCATCAGCATAGATCCATGTGTCTTGGCAGTAGAGAGTCTCTCAGGGAGTGAGCCTGCATCCTGCCTCCAGTGAGCTGTTTATCTCCTTAGCGCCTCCAAATGAGGTCATCCAGCTGCGATCTGATTGATGGCTAAACTCCACCCCTTCACTATTAATCCTCAAATTGACACCAGATTATGTAACTACCACTTAAACTAATCCATTATTTGGCTAAATGGTGACCTGCAGAAATAGCTTCAATTCCAAGTCCAAAGGTTATTTTAGGACAATAGTCTTGTGCTCCTCTAGTTTCTATTGGTGTGATAAGTCTTGCCTTTTATAGGAGCTCAAATTTTGGTCTATGTTTTCTCCTGCTCGCACTAAACTTTCTGCTGTGTCCGTGGTCAGAACAGGGGGTGATGCTAGACTTTCTGCTGTGTCCGTGGTCAGAACAGGGGGTGATGCTAGCCAGACACCATCTACTTCTTTCGGTCTCAGGTTAGAAGAGGAGGTGGTTCACCTGGGCTCTTGTGGGCGGCCTTTGGTTTCGGTGTTTATCAATTCTAGCTCATCTTCACTAACGAGTATTGAAGGGGTGGAAGGCCTCAGCCCACTAAGCTGTTCAGAGTGGAGACTCAAGCGTAGAAATACTCAAGAAGAACAAACTGTTTCTAGACACCGTTTCCCAAGTTGGGTGTTACTTGCATAATTCACTGTCATTGAGTCATTGTGGCCATTTAAGAACAAGAAGAACTGCCTTATGGGTTTCTAAGACTTAAATGTTTAGGAGAGTAGAAAGCCTCATCTTTCCCCTGCACAGTGGCTGTTGGTTTTGAATTGGTCATCTTGTGGTTAAAAGCCCAACGAGTAACCCACCATGAGTGTTTGAACCACAGTTGGTAGCACATTTAGGAGGGGAACCAAGGAGCACTTCTTTCTGAATAAAGACATTGCTTTACTCAAGGTTTTATTCAGACAGATCCAAGAGGGAAGAAAGAAGCTTTATCTCATGTCTCTTGCTCTAGAATGACAAGGATAATATTTTTATTGTACGTGCTGGGAATTCATTTTTTTATTCTAAATTGGCAATTCTTTTAAAAGCTATTTGCTTCATCAGTCTTGCTAGTTAATTTGCTTTCCCCTTGAAAGTTTCAATGTGATAAGAGATAAGTGTTTAGAATTTTGGATATCAGGAAAATACAGAGTTAAAGACAAGAGAAAAGAAGGTAATTAAATGAATCTTTTTGTTCTTTAGGTGACCGGAGTGAGAAGATAAAAAATCAAATTAAACAAATGATGGATGTCTCTCGGGTATGGCCTTTTGGACAGAGTACCATAAATGACTTGTGAATTCATATGCTGATACACCTTTAATACTACTTTTCTCCTGAAATTTTTAGACAAAAACAGCAATTTCAGTTGTTGAAGAGGATTTAAAACTTTTGCAAGTTAAGCTAAGAGCCTCGATGTCCACTAAATGTAACCTGGAAGGTAGGTTGCCTCACGAGAAGACTGTTCCATGCATTGGAAAGAAATGATTTTACTTGGGAAAGCTGAAGGCTGGCTTCTCACTTCAACACTTGTCCTCTCAGCACTCCCTGCTCCCAGAGCGCTCACATGTTTTCCCTTTACAGACCAAATCAAGCAGCTAGAAGATGCCCGCAATTCACTGCAGTCAACCAAGGCTGGACTGGAAGATGACTGCAAAACCCTGAAGCAGAAAGTCGAGATTCTGAATGAGCTGTACCAGCAGAAGGAGATGGCCCTGCAAAAGTACACTGTTCATTTTTGTATTGTTGAAAGTAGTGTTGTGTGGTAATCTCTCTGCACTGCATCTACTTGATGGCAGTGAGTTTTGAGTTTTGTGTGCAGAACATTTTACCTTTTATAAAGATCATTGACTCCCCTGCCCCACACTCCATTTATGATTAGTGTAGACTGTTTCCTTTCTGCCTCGTTTCTGTAACTTTTCCTTTCCATTTCACTCAAATTTGTTATCGGGCATTCCTCACTTGTCTGTGATGTTGATCGACTTTACCCATACAGAGGGATCAGTGAGGGAAAGGGGAAAACTCAGTGAGATGCCGGGAGAGGGTGGCTATCACTGGGCTGGAACATGAGAATTGTGAGCGACACGGGGCCAGGCATTATGATAAGAGCTGTGGTGGCACAGCAGTGTAGTGCCCCCTGCTAACTGGCAGGTTGGCATTTCAGACTCATGCCATGACTGGGAGCGCAAAGGTGACCGCCAGAAAGAGCAGGGACGGTGCATAGCTCTCCAGTCACTCGTGTCCTGTCAGTCAGCATGGACTCCACAGCCACAACCACCACTGCTACCCTTTCTCAGGCCTGCCACTTATTTCCTCTTCTGACTTTGTGATCAGGAGCTCATTCTGATTTATCCTCCATTTGTTCCAGATGCTCTGAATATAGCTATTTGCACGATGTGTTTTAATAGAATGAGACTTTTGAAGGCATCGTTAGTTACTGAAGGTTTCATAACTTTGGGACTTAGCATAGTCAAATACTATATAGTAGGATCAGTGCAAGAATGTTGGAAGTTTTGAGTATAGAAAAACTGGTTAGTACATGTTAGGGTAGAGTTCGCTGTCTTTTGAAAGATACACTTTGGTGTATCTTTTGGGGTTCATTTTCATTTGTTTTCCGTATCAGGAAACACAGACTCATTGAGTCAGTTCCCAATCCTATCGATCCCCGGGGCTCTCCGAGGCTGTACTACAGCAGAGAGCCTCATCTTCCCCGTCTCTCCATGGGAGCACCTGGCGGTTTTGCCTGGAACGTGTGCGTAGCAACCCGACCACTGCTGGAATCACACCAGGGGGACTCCTCGTTCCTCCTTGTGGTGGTGAGGTGCCACAACCCAGCGCACAGCACAACGAAACACGGCCCGTCCTTTTCTCCCTGGTAGCATGCACAGACTCTGCAAAATAGGGTGCTGCAGCAATCGATATGTGTGTTTTTTTCTTTGGGCAGCATGGCAGTCTTTGAGAAGGTCTTTCTTGCCAAAAGCAAATGTGCTTAGTCTTTCTTAAATACTTAGGCTGCTACTGCCATTTCACACGGAAACCTTGCCAGTAACCTTGCCAGCTTCTCCATTGTTTACTTGACCAGCCAGGTTAGTTTTTCCATATCGTGTTCAGGCCAGTCTAAATGTCTGCTGTGCTTGAGAGAAATGTTTCTTATGGAATTGCTTGGGTTGTGAAGAGCGCTTGATCTGAATAGGAGAGGTCCCTGCTGTTCTTCATGATAAGGAGCGCTGTTGGCGGTGACACTGTTGGGTGAGGGTGGGCTGCGAAGGTCAGGGCTCAAAACCACAAGCTGCTTGTGTGGTGGGGGCGGGCAGGGTTGAGATGGGATGAGATGAGGTTATCTGCTGTTTTAACGATGTGCAGCCTCAGAAACCTGATAAAGGGTCCTATGAGTCCGAATTGACTTGATGATGGTGGGTTGGTCCCCCCTCCGCCTTTGTCCTTCCATGATACAGTGTAGCATTGTTTTATTCAGCTCCTCCAATATCCACTCAGTCATCCTGTCTGGCCTACTGCCTGACCCCAAAGCCACTGTGTTGTTAGTTCAGGCCCACATCATCTCTTCTGATAGCCCCCTAATGATCGATCATCGCCTTTTATGAAGTGTTTCCCTTCTCATGGCTCTTCTGAATGCCGAATCGTGTTCTCTACACCTGCTAGAACGAAGTTTCTCGAGAAAGAAAGCTTTCTCGTGTCGTAATGTGTGTAAGCTGTCAAGAGTGCTCCATTTTGTCTACAGCCCCCGCAGGGCTCGAGAAGCAGGCACACAGGACACTCCTTCTCCGCAGGAGACAGGTTGCCTCTCCAAGTGCCTGGCCTGCGACTCCTCCTAAGGCAGTGGTTCTCAACCTTCCTCATGCCGTGACCCTTTCATACAGTTCCTCATGTTGTGGTGACCCCCCCCAACCATAAAATTGTTTTTGTTGCTTCTTCATAACTGTAATTTTGCTCCTGTTGTGAATCGGGTGACCCCTGTGAAAGGGTTGTTCGACCCCCAAAGGGTCGTGACCCACAGGTTGAGAACGGCTGAGTTGTACCCACCCTCCACAGAGTTCCCTCATGGCATCCCCAAGCCTTCTGTGTGCTGTTTTCTTTGCAGGGAAAATGCCATTTTGCTTTATTTACATCTGACAGCCTTCTGCCTGTTCCTATAAGCCGACCCGAAATTTTCAAGCTAAAATTTTGAAAATTTTAGTTTGAAAATTTCAGATCGGCTTATACTCAAGTATATATGGGCTATGTTCTTGACTATCCAGTGTGGAGTGAGTTGTGGCATGTATAGGTAGATCGCTTTAGAGACTAGGTGAGGACTGTTTTCTTTTCAATGTAACATAAACTTCTTGTACAGTCCACGAGTACTGTAAAGGCTGCATAGTCCTCCAGTCATGGTTGGACGTCCCTGCCCCTTCCCGGTCTGTTAAACCCTGTCGTTGAGTTTGTGATGACAGTTTCCTGTCTTGTGGAGTGCCTGTCAGACTTGAGTGGTAAACATAGCATATGAACACTGTAGGAGATATATGAGCCCAGAATCATGTTCTCTTCTTGCAGAAAAGATTTGGGAAACAATTAAGGTCATTCAGAACTAGCTTATTAGGCTTTTAGGGAGACTGCCTTGCTGACGTGGTACTCCTAGTGTGTCGTTCTTTCTAGTCTCAACCAAGAGCTTGCAGCTTTTACCAGGGCTCCTTTCATACGATTCAGTCCACCTGTTTCCTCTCTGTGCGTCCTGTGAAAGTGACTCCCAGTGCTCGGCTTACCTGTCACCCTAGGATTCCTTTCCCTTATCTCGCTTCACTGCTTTGGTAGCTCTGTGGCAACTTTAAACACAGCCTCCAAATGTTGCCCAGCTGTTGTATATCCATGTTCTCTGACTGGCAAACTACTGGAAACAAAATTCTTTCCTATTTTTCTTCAAGATTGGTTTCTTACATCCTTTTATAAGACAAAACTAGAATTCTTTAGTTCTTGCATGTTTTATATAGTAAACTGAACTCCTTTATTGCAAGGATAATACTTTACCTATATTTTAATTTTTAGCATTTTACAAGATAACACATATATAGACACACTTGTATAAACACCTTTAAGTATTGAATGATAACTATTACTCTTTTATAGATTTAATTTCAAATTTTACTCCGAGTCAGTAGAGAATTGAGTTTCACGTTGAATCAGCACTTCAGAACTAGGAGCAAAGATGTATGAGAGTACATTTGTGAACTATTAAATAACATTTGTGAGCTATTAGACGTTGCTGCCTTTACAGTCTACGATATAGTAGATTGACATCATGAGGGTATCCAGTTAAAACCTATGGCTCCCATAACCCACAGATGATGGGACAAATCAGGGTTGCTGTTGTTTTTTCCCTGTTTGATAGACATTGTCAATAGGAAGAGTTGCCTCATTGCTTAGTCAAGATTCTAGTGAAATAGACAGTAGGCATTTCATATCCAAAGTAAAAATGGCATGGTCAATGGCACAGTTAGAAGATATGTTAAAAAAAACAACCTTTGGGACTGATTATCTTGATCATGAATCAAGTCTTTGAATGATGGAAATAATACATGAAATTACAGGTCTGTCCCTAGTAGACCTCAAAGAACGAATTATCTGGTCTTAATCTCAATAGGCTTAGCTGGGTTGGGTCGATGGGCTTTGGCTTTCCACCCTGAACTGAAAAGAGCCTCCTCCATGAGGCACAGAGTGCCTTTGTTTGCGTGTTTCACTCACTAGTGAGTAGAGAGTTATGTGGTCTTGGGAAAATACAGGTGACTTGGCCTGCAGACCAGAGTTTGATTTTTATTGCAAATAGCAAGTTTGAAGTCCTTCCTGTGATTTCTTTTGAATATGTACACATTTTATGCATCTAAAGTATAGGAGGTTGTATTTGAACGGAAACATTTAGACTGTAGGGAGGGAGACACAAACAAGCACTTTCCTTGGAAAACGGGTTTCATATTGCTACTTCTTGTTCATCATAGGAAACTGAGTCAAGAAGAATACGAGCGGCAAGAAAAGGAGCAGCGGCTGTCCGCTGCCGATGAAAAGGCGGTTCTGGCAGTAGAGGAAGTTAAAACCTACAAGTGAGTTCAGCTTCGGAAGAGGATGGCAGTGGCTAATGAAATTACGGTTGGCTTTTTAAAAGTCTTACATCCAAATTCAAAGAACACAAATGCATTCAATTCTCAATAGGAAAAAAGAAATGTCAAGTTAACAAATGAAAAGTTAACAAAAATGTCCATAGACCCAGTGCCGACGAGGCTGTGAGGGCACTTGTTTCTAGCAAACAGCTCTGGGTCGTTTTCTATACTGGCATCATAATCCTTTAGGAAAACAGTTTGTTGTAAGATATACCAAAAGCCATAAAAATGATCAGACTGTCTGATCATGTTTGTAGTCATAGCTCTGGAATATTTTCTATGGATATAATTAAAAGAAGATGAAAACTTTGTGAAGGAAGATTCATAGTAGGATCATTTGTGAATAGACTGAAGACCAGTGAAGGACTTCATACTGTGTCAACTCAGAATCCCCAGCTGTTAAATTGAAATGTAATTCATGTATCATACACTTAAAATAAAATAGTTCGGCCCTCTCAGAAAGAATTATGTTATCAACATAACCAGTTCCAGAAAGTTTCTTCCTTCTTGTAGTCAGTGCTACTAACTCCCCATTTCCCACTAATCTCCCCTCCGGTACCCCCAGGAAGGCATTAAACTAGTTACTATTTCTCTATTTTTTGAAACCAGTTATTGTTTCTATCAATTCACCTATCCTGATTTCATATTATTGGAACGCATCCAAAAAGCAGTAGGGAGAAAACCACAATCACAAAATAAACCAAAGGAAAACCTTAATCAAAACGAAAGTAGAAAATATTAAAACCAGAACAAATTAAAATGGGTTACAAAGGAGACCAAATGATAAGGTGTTGGATTTTAACCTAACTGGTTCTGCAACAATCCACTTTCCATTGCACTCTGCAAGATAGCAAGGCTATTCATATTCCTGATCCATGGCCAGAGGGAATTCATCAGAGTTTCAATCCATGTATATTTCCTCCCCCCCCCCTTTTTTTTTCACTATATGAAACAACTTTAAAATGTGTCAAAAAGGAGATCAAATGATAGGTATATACATTTTAACATAACTACATCTGCCATAATTGAGTTTACAATGTGCCCTGAGGAAATTATGGAGTATTCATTTTTATCATATTGTACTCTTACTAGAAACATGTAAATTAGGTTCTTGTAAATACAGAGTAAATCTATAAGGGTACAAGTTGTTACTGCAAAGGGGTTGGGGTCAGGTCATGTGAATTGTATTCATTGTGCTTTAACTGATAAAAGCAAGTATTGTTTTTAGGCGGAGAATTGAAGAAATGGAAGAAGAGTTACAGAAAACAGAGCGCTCATTTAAAAACCAGGTAATAATTATCCTGCCCTCCAGTTGGAGAATTCTGTAATATCTAATACAGATTGTTAAAATGAATTCCTGCATGTATTTATTTAATTTTTCATATGTGGTCTTTTTCAGATTGCTACTCATGAGAAGAAAGCGCATGATAACTGGGTAAGACTCCTCCCCCACGCCCACCCCCTGCATTGTGTGCCTGGTTTACTACAACTGCATCGGGCTGTTTTCCTTTAATAGCTCAAAGCACGTGCTGCAGAAAGAGCTATAGCTGAAGAGAAAAGGGAGGCTGCCAACTTGAGACACAAGTATGTAATTGTAATGCTTCCCCGCGCCCGCCCCCCTCCCCGCAGTGGATGTTTTTAGGACTATGATGTCTTGGTCTCTAGCAAAGGGATTGATTTCCAGTGTCATACTCAAGTCCATTCTTTCTATGTATTCAAGATTACTGGAAATAACCCAGAAGTTGGCGATGCTCCAAGAAGAACCTGTGATTGTAAAGCCAATGCCAGGAAGACCTAGTACACAAAACCCTCCGCGGAGAGGTAGGGCACTTTGTAAAGGGAAGCCGTCAATCTGTTTGCAGAATGTACTCCAGTTGCTTTTTATTTCTGTATGTCATGGTTATGATGCCCCAGAAGTAATCCCATGTCTTTACTAAAGGAAAGAGCCATTTTAAGAAGTATTACCCAGATAGTTTCTTCTCCAGGTCCTCTAAGCCAGAATGGCTCATTCGGCCCATCTCCGGTTAGTGGTGGCGAGTGCTCCCCTCCACTGACAGCAGACCCACCTGGGAGGCCCCTCTCTGCCACTCTCAGTCGCAGAAATATGCCTAGAAGTGAATTCGGTGAGCATTCACATCTTTCCTAACATAAAACTGTTTCAAGAGCATTTGTCTCTTCCATGTGAGAATCCGAATGCAAACAGTATCTTAGAATCTGTCCAGAACAGAGAAGAAAATTTCATGATTGGTCTTCATGGATAGTCCACTGTAAGATCTGCTATAGAATAGAAAGCATTTTAAAATAAAATTTCCAGGGGCTGGGGGAGGAGGGAGGGTTTGTGTTTTGTTTATTTTTGTTTAATGGAGTTAAAAGCTTTTATCTTTAAATCGCTTTAGGTTTCTTTAATACTGTTGTCCTGAAACTATGGTCTATATAGCATATATATTTTAATATATCATTAATTTAATTTATATTACCTATCATTACTATAATACTATAATGTATGCATCTAGTTATAATAATAGATGCTTATGTCAAACTTGATAATATATGGATGAGAGATTGTATGTAGACCGAAAAAAATTAGCCTGTAGAATTGTATAGAATCCAAAGCATGACTGAAGGACCAGTGTTATTAATGTGTGGTGTTTATTGTAGTCTCTCTATTCAAAACACTTCTTAAATTCGTTCTGTAAAGCTATACCATAAATTATGTTATTTTCCACACATATTTGGGAGATATATTTTTAATGTTGCTTCATAGGTCGAATGACCTATGGTCAATTCTCCAAAATTGGTCTGTTTCTCCTGAAAACTACACGTAAGTCTCTCTTGGATTTTTCCTTTCTCTACTCTGTGACTTTTTGCTCTCCAGGGCAGGTGGACGGACCTCTGCCTCGTCCACGATGGCCATCGGACGCATCTGGAAAACTCTCCGCCTCTGGTAAGTGTGTCCAGAGTTCAATCATGGCGATTATTTACTCTTCCTATCGCTTCTCGGTCTTTTGGCTAAGATCAAGTGTAGTATTTACCCTTCCTGATGGAGTGCATGAACCAAAATAAGTCTACGTCCGTTCTCTGACCCCCAGCAGACCCGGGACCTGGTCCAGCTCCCATGATGAACAGCAGCTCTGGAAGCTCTTCCCCTAAGGTGACGGACGAGGGCAAAGTGAGTTCTGCAGGCAGTGTGACTTGGAATTAGGATTTCAGCCAACATTCCGCTTTCCTACAACACCCTCTCCTGTATCATCTCTTGTTTGTGTGTCCTGTTATATCCATACTATCTTATTTATTTTTCTAAAAAGCAAACTCTTCCCCAAGAGCCTGAAGGCGCCTCAGGTGCCAGCAGCCCATCAGTGACTGAGCAGCCAGTAGCAGTAAGTACTGAGAGGTTGAGCACTGCAATAGGCTTCTTGGTGTGTTTCTGGAAAGGACCTAAGGAGCATGGCACTAATCCTCGTGGTTTTGAATTGCACGGCAGCATTGGTCTTACGCTCTCCTTGCCTTGGGAGTATTGCTGGGAAACTGAAACCTTGGTGGGTTGTTTTTTTTCCCTGTCTCTTTTCCTATTGTGTTAGGTGATTAACCTGCTTAGAACAGCTGTTGTCATTAAAATAACAAAGAGTGAAAAGTCATCACCCAACTTTATAGAGTGCTTCAGTGTGGAATGCTCTTTAGATATGACAAAATAATAATTTATAAAGTATCAAGGGTACATGAGAAAGGGTAGCAGGGAGGGAGGGGGAAAAATGAGGAGCTGATACCAAGGGCTCAAGTAGGAAGCATATGTTCTGAGAATGATGAGGGCAAAAAATGTGCTTGACATATGGATTGTGATCAGAATTATACGAGCCCCCAATAAAACGATTTGAAAAACAAACAAACACAAACCCACAACACCCAATGGATTCCAACTCCTGGCAGCCCTATATGTTTTCCTAGACTGTAAATCTCTCCTTTCTCCCTTGGAGTGGCTGGTGGGTTTGAACTGTCAGTCTTGCTATAGCAGCCTGGTGCCCAGCTCACAAAGTAAATTGCCTATAATTCTTCCTTATTTTATCTTTGCTTGGAAGTGTGCTATTTCAGAATCACTCCATTTGCACTAGGCAAGCCTTATTTTGAATGATCACAAATTACAGAAGAATGGTCACAGAAGAATGCTTGTTGGAAATGAAATACTAAATAGTAAAAATCTGTAATTGCCTCTTGAGGCATTTCCAGCAATGACCCTTAAGTTAGGTTCACATAGTGTATTTTCTTGTAGCCTCTATAGATATTAGAGCTGGTAAGGCCCTTTGATCTTACCTCACAGTGCTGCTCCATCTTGAAATATATTTATTTAGGATTTCCGATCCATTTTCCTACAGGAAATGAATATTAGTCAATACCTCATACTACATATTATTATTAGTGAATGAAGATAAATATTCAAGCTGTGCCTGATTTGTATACATAGCATTGTTTCTGTTGGAAAAGACCTTCCAAATTCTTTGAGGATGCCAAGAGTACACATCTCTGAGCCCTCTTTTCATCCCAGGGGAGCTCTGGGATAGAGGAGACCCCACTGTTACCAGAAGGAGAGGTGTAAAGAGACTTAGAGTCCGAGCTGGTGTTGAATTTCAGCTCAGCCTCTTTGTAGTCTCCAGCAAATTAAGTAATTCCCCGTGCCCCTCCCTGTTTGTTGCCTCTTATTTAAAATGAGGTGATCATGCTCAGAGATTTAGAGATTTGAGAATTAGCACTAATATACAAAAGGCCTCTTGAAGGTACTCTGGCTAGTAGCTATATTGGTGCACATAGAGAATGGACTTCTCCTTCCCATTCCTTCTCTGTATCCTCATGGAAACAGTGAGCTGGTGTGGTGAGGGGCAGAGGGCTTGCCTTAGAATTAGACTAGTGTTGGTAAGAGTTCATCACTGATTGGGACTTAGTTCTCTCAATATTCTCTGGCAGTTATCTTGCTTTCCCTTCCATTTACATGTGCAGGACCTAATCTGAGGGGTATGGCATCTTTGTAACCTCTGCCAGTGGGAGCGAAGGGGAGGGGCAGCGTCTGCACTGAGTCTGCTCTGTGTACGCCAGGAAAGAGGTTCTAGGGCCTGACATCTGCTTCATCAGGTTTCAGCTTGTCCTGGTTTTGGTGCATTTGCCTCTTACTAAAATATTTCAGAACTTTAATTGCTTCTCCTCTACAGGTTAACATGGCTGCCAAAGGGCCCCCTCCTTTCCCAGGAATGCCCCTCATGAGCTCCCCAGTGGGAGGCCCTCCCCCACCACCCATCAGATACGGACCGCCACCTCAACTCTGCAGACCTTTTGGACCTCGACCCCTCCCTCCACCATTTGGTAGGATGACTTGAATGGTAGTCATTGACTTGTAGAGTATATGAATCTTTTTCTCTAGTCCCTGCTGAAAACTAGGAAGCTGCTCTTACAGGCCAACTTTGTAAGTTTCCTAGGATGCCTGGGTGCGACATCATCTCTGTACTGAACTGGGGGGCGGGTATCTCTTACAAGAAAAAGGCATTTTTAAAGGGGAAAAAGTACCAATTCTGCAGATGTTTATTAGGCTGTGTTTGGCGATATCCTAGATTCTGTAAAGGATAGAAAGGTGGATAAGACACATCCCACAACCCAAGAGTTTAGATGTCCTACAACAGAGATGTACATTATATAACACAAAGCTTAGACTCGCCCACATTGGGAGCATAAGCAGTGTGTCACACAGGACGAAAGAGGAAGAAATCAAGTGCTCACTGTCATTTGGGGAAAGTGGAAGAGAAGTGTTAGAGAGCAGCTAGAATGTGATGCTGTGGGCAATGTCAGGGGCCGCTGAGTGGGCTCTCACAGCGATCCGGTGTACGACCGAAGGAACTCTCACCCGGGCCATGCCGCTTTCCCACTTGTCCCTGCGTCTGAGCCCCCATGCAGCCGCCCCTCTGCTCTACCAAGCATGGTGGCCCTCTCCAGGGACTGATTTCTCCTGACAAGAAGACCAAAACGTACTAGCTTGTGGTCTCTCCTGATAACATGTCCAAAGTGCATGAGACTAAGTCTCGCCATTCTGGTTGTACTTCTTCCAGGACACACGTGTTTATTCTCTGGCAGTCCATGGTACTTTCCAAGTTCTTCACCAGCACCACAATCCAAATGCATCAATTCTTCAATCTTGACTCAGTGTCCAGTGTTCACATGCACAGCTGTTGATGGATCTCTGGATACCATGGCTTAGTATAATGGTACTTGCAAATACAAACTGAGCTCTGTGAGGTAAAGATGGAGACCTGCAGTGGGGAAAAAGGCTGGAGCTAGGTAGTGCCCTGGATTGCTGGTGACTAAAGAAACATTACAGCTGTGCCTGTTGCTTTGTGCTTATAAAAAAATTGGTTCATATGTTAAGCCTAGAATCACCTTAATTTCACTGTGTTCTAATTTACATGACATAATTTTTCTTTTTTCCAGGTCCTGGTTTGCGTCCACCACTAGGCTTAAGAGAATACGCACCAGGCATTCCACCCGGAAAACGGGACCTACCTCTCGACCCTCGAGAATTTTTACCAGGACATACACCTTTCAGACCTTTAGGCCCAAGAGAATACTTTATTCCTGGTACCCGATTGCCACCTCCACCCCATGGCCCCCAGGATTATCCACCTTCGCCTGCTGCAAGAGACTCACTGCCTTCTGCCTCTAGAGATGAACCCCCCCTACCTGCCTCCCAGAGCAGTAGCCAGGATTCTTCACAGTCTTTAAAACAGAGCCCGTAACTCCATCTCCTCTGTTCCGTAGCCTGAGAGTGGATGCTGCACTGTTGGGCTATAGTAACGGATTCTATTGGCTTCTAAATCTACAAGTTTATTTTAAAAGGTTTGTTTTTAGAACTAAACTGCGCTGGCAGTGTGCATTTTTGAGCCAAACAATTCAAGAATATAATCTCCTACCCCAATAAAGACCACCTCTTAAAGCTAGCACCTCCTTAAAACAACTTTGAAATGTGCAATAAAAAAATACCTGTGTTTGTAGTTAATGTAGAATAGGTAATTGCTAAATGATTTAGAATGTCATGAAGAATATGAACATTTCCTGTGGAAATGCTTTAAGAACATGTATTTCCATTGTCTTATTTTTGGCATACACCAGTTGATGAAAGAGCAATGGTGTTTATAAGCTTGATTTTTAAAAAATAGCTGGTCGCAGACTAAAAAAGGTTTACTAAAAGATCACTAAACTATCTCCCCGATTGTTACAGTTCTTTGTAGTAATAGTTCATAAAAAATTGTTTATTAATATTTCCAAGTGTCTATTGATTCATTGGGTTGTTTTTTCATGAGATCTGAGCCATTGTGGAGACCTAAATGCAGGCTCTCAGCATTGAAAGGTGAGTGCTGCCCCTGGTGGCAGTTGCTCAGGGTCAGAGGTCCAGCCTGAGCCCCCAGGCCCTTTGCAGATGCTGTCTTCCTTCCTGCCAAGCCAGCAGCTCTGCTGCGGCGGCTCACTCCCGTGCTGGCTTGTGACCCCAGGATCTGTCTGAGTGACTGTTGAGTGCGTTTACTAGCAAAAGGTTTTGGACCCAGTGTGCTATCCCTTTTACCCTTTGTGCATGTGGGCTGCATAAAAGAAAAATAGAAATGTCATGACCGTAAAACAACATTTATTTTTAAAAATATATGAAGTGTATTTTTCTCCCATATTGTGCCACTGATTTTGAGAAAACCCAGCAGAAAAGATCAGAGGCGTGAGAAAATGGACTCGACAGTCTGGCTTGCCCTTCCCTGAGCTCAGCAACTAGACCTCATTGTTGATAGCTGCTACTCCAAAATTAACACGGGAATGTTGGCGTTATACTTAAAAACTAGGAAAGCTAAGGATCAGATTGCTTCATAATTTTACTGTACCTATTACAATAACTGTCTTTAAGGCAGTGTTCCAAAGAGCTAACTTTTCGAACATTTTAAATGACAGTAACTTGAGCACAATTTAGTAAGCTTAAGGTCTAAATTATAAAATACTAATATTCTTATGTCCTGCTACACTATCTTCTCCCATTCTTTGAAGGCACTGTCTCTGTACAGATGGGGTGTGGAGCATCCTCCCTCAGAAGTTGCATCTGTAACCGACACCCTCTCTAGCTGATTGTGGCTCTGGGCTTTGTTGCTATGCCATCTCATTTCACAAAGCCACGGTACTTCAGCCTGAAAGCATTTGCACTATAGGTGTGGTTTGGTTATTATTTTCAGTGGCCAACTTTTTCATTGAAAAGTAGTATCTGAATAATTTGTGGGCTGTGGAGAATTCTGTCAACCACTTTAAAATCTCTCATTTTGTAATTCATTTCCATAGGACCCTATAAAGCGAAGTTTATCACACAATACTCAATTTTAGGTTTCTTTAATACTGGTGACAGAAAGGCTTCTGTAGTTCATATAAAGCATGCTTATGTGAGGACAGGAGATGCGTGTTCAAATAAGTTCGATAGGCACATCTTATGGTGTATAAGGAACGAGAACACAGATCAGGTTTGCTACATTTTAATAGGCTTCTTTAAGGGATTACTTTTTAAATCTCGTCAGCAACATCCACTAAAAGGTTCTGAGTACTCCACAGGGTACTGAGTGCTGCCAGGCACCATAGAAATTTTACATAACACGGAGAAAACGAAGTTCTTGCCCCCTGAGGAGCTTACAGTCTGGAGAATCTGACAATTTGCAGTCTTAAGACTTGAGTGAACAATGAAACAATTAAGGCAAGTTCTTTATCCCCTAGAGCATAGGTTCCCAAACTTGTTTGACCAGCCCCGCCCCCCCCAAAAAAACAAACAAACACCAACACACCAAACAACTCAGCCCTCTTGGCTAAGATTAGACCATAATCCAGTTTTAAATTAGGTATTGCTTTTGCAGCCCTCCAGGATGGTCCCAGCCTCCCTAGGGGGCGGTATCTCAGACTTCGGGAAACAACTGCTCTAGAGCTACTGTGGGCTGATTCATTGTTTTAGAATTTTAATTAATCCAATCAAACGGACAGACAAGTCTAAATCTGAGAAGTCTTTCAGGCTCAGATAGTCTTAGTACCTATCTAGTACAGAAAACTGACCTAATAGACAACTGTGAATGTAAGGACGAGCTCCCTGGAAGTGCAAGGGCTTAATTTCAAAGCAAACATCCCGGGGTTGCCTAGGCGTGCACTCAGCGTAGGCCAGGTACTGACCCTGCACCCCCTCATGCTAGCACTGTGCAGTGAAGACAGTGAACAGTAAAATACGTGGGGTCTACAGCTAACCCACAGAAAGCCCTCCACATGCCTTAATGTTCTGGGTATCAACTAACCACCTTAGGTATTGTGAAAGTTTTATGCCCCGTTAAGTCAAAGGTAATGTAAATATTCAAATTATAATACTTTAATGACCTGCATATTTTCATATGGATGAATGTCAGTATATCTAAATAGGAAAGAAATGACAGTACTATCTACCTACATCAGGGGGAAAAAGGGATCTTCCCGTATCTGCGTCTCATCGGAAGAGGTTTGCAGGTTTTTAAGGTTTCACAATCAGTTGTCAGAAAAACAGCAGTTATTCCTGCAATATCTGATTAGCATCTATTTTTAGATTATACAATTTAGAAAACTACCTGTCAGCTACATTATGACAGCTGGATGATACTCATAAAAAATTGTAATTATTAGGATTCTAACGATACGCCAAGAATCATTTACCAGGAAGAAAAACAATGTAATGTAGAAAAGCCAAACAATATGACTAACACTATGCTCATTTTAAAAACAATCTGGACATCTGGGAAAATCTCTTGCTACCACTCGGGGCACACTCCCACACAGGGTCCTGATCTGGCCAAGGTCCAGTGGGCTGAGCAGGAAAATCCTCAAGGTGAGCTGGAGCTTAGAGGTGTCTTGAGGACACCCTATATCCCCTCCCAGACGGACCACCTTCGGCAGCATAGGCGACCAATCAGCCCCTCCTAAACAGGTCCATACTATCTGACCACGGCCCTCAAAGCCAAAAGAGCATATTGGCTCAACAGTGAGCAGATGTGTAACTAGCACATTCTTATTGCTGTGTTAAGTCTGAAGATGAGCATGTCCTACCCATACGTGTTCCAGGAAATGGTAGGAATAGTGGTGAATTAGAAGACAAGACTAATTGCACAAGTAAGAGGAAGGCAAAAAAATATTTCAAAATACAATAAGCCCCTATCCCAAGGAGTTGCACATTGGTGAGGAGTGGACTTCAGTCTGTGGCACAGCCGTGCAAAACCAATGGGCTTGCTCTGGCCTGGGGCAAGGGAGCCGCTCCCTTCGGACTGTTGAAGGGTGTGCGGATGCTACACAGAGCTACGATGGTTTCTACGGAGAGAGAACACTCAGACGTTCCACAGGGGGTGCATGTCAGGATCATTCCTTGTGCAAAGTTTGATGTAGATGAAGATAAAGTGGTTTCTTGGTCAATAACTGCAGTTTCTTTCTTTTAAAGTCAGTTGGTTTCTTGTATCTGTAACCACAATAGAAAGACCATTAAAATACTTTGATAACTCATCTATTCCCAAATTACCTTCTGGATAAGGGAACTAAGAACAAAGTCATACAGCCCCTATTACATTGATACTAATTGTTTGTTTGTATCACTTACAGTTCTATTACAATTGGCCCAGGTTTAATTTCATCCATCTCCATGAACGCAAAGCACTTGGTGCTGGTAAATCGTTTTTTAGGCTTGTAGTGTTTAAATTCAAAGAAGATAGCTGCACCTTAGGAATTTAAAAAGCAGAACACATAAGCCAGAGTACATTTTTAGCACGTCAATAAATTTTCTTTGATGGCCAATGCATATGAATAAGCAACAGCTGGCATAATTTTCCAAAGTGACTTGTGTCAAGCATAATCTCTCTGACAATATGGGGTTATTACTTTACTGTGGTTGCCAGTTTATCCCAATCTCCAATTCACAGTACAGCAAACTTTTCTTGAGCTTGGATGACTCAATGGACATACATCTCAAACACAGGAGAATCATAAACTACTAAAGATAGTATGTAAAATACCACAAAAAGATGTGGAGCATACAGATGTATGAATACTGCCCATAAAGCCCACTGTATATGAGGTGTGCCTATAAGAAATTTCACAGGCAGCACAGTGGTTAAAACAAATTTGAACGCAGCAGCAGCTCCACAGAAGGAAGGCGTGGCAATCTGCTCCCATCAACGTTACAGACTTGGAAATCCTTTGATGCAGTTCTGTCCTATTATGTTGTTCCGAGGGCTTCAAAACGTTTTTAGAAAAAACAAAAACGATTTTTTCCATGAATTTTTGGAAACCCCCTTGTATGAGTCTGAATTAACAGCAAAGGGATATAGAAAACTTACTTTTAACTACTTATTGTGAATTGGGTGAAGGTTTATAGAGCAGATCAGTTTTCCATCTAACAATTCATACACATTTTGTTCATGACATTGATTACAATCTCCGCAATGTAGTATCAGGTATCCCACTTCGTCCTGTGTTTCCTGTTCTCATTCCTCCTTTCCTGACCGTTCGGACCGTTCTTTTGGGTAAATGTCCTTGTCATCTCAAATGGTCGGACTATCCTATGGTGTGTGTATGTCAATAACCTATTATTGTCTGGCTCAAAACTGAGCTACAAAGATGAGTTCATTTCCAGACCTGCAGGTGACTAACCCTGAGGGCCATAGTCTGTCTCGGGATTCCACCAGGGTGGATCCAACCAGTAAGCTTAATCTTTATGATTTTGAGTTTATAAGAAAGTATTTAAAATGCTACCTATTTCTTAATGATTGTTTCACTCTTCAAAGCACTGTCTCCCCATCCACACCCCCCTCACCCTTGGAATTACATGAGGTGTAAAGGCAGCGCTAACAGCGTCCTGGGGGCAGAGTGGGGAAGCACTCAGCTGCTAACCAAATGACTGCTACCCAGTGGCCCCACAGGGGGAAGATCAGACAAGGTGCTCCCTTTGCTCTCAGTCTAAAAGCCCGAAACCTCTAGAGGCAGTTCCACCCTGTTACACAGGGTTGTTCTGAGTAGAAATGCACTTGGCAGCAGCCAGCAACAAGAACAATATGGAACACAAAGGTCTATAGAAGCAGCCAAATTCCCCACCCACAGGATGATCACCTGTGTTGTCTTCCAGAAGCTCAATTGTTAAGATTTAAAATAAATTGAGAAGTAAACTGCCTCATGAATACAGCCAAGAACAGTTCCTTCCTAAAGCAGCCACAGAAACGGGAAGGATGTCAGGTCTCACTCGCAGCTGACTCCCTATTATTGCTACCTCAACCACAGCAGCACTCTCTATCTTTTCAAAACCAGCAACATGTCTAATACTGTCATCGATGGTAAAGCTTAAGCCTTTAGAAATGAGTGTACATTCTTAGCATTTGGGTCCAAGTCTAGTGCCTTGCCTGTGAAATGGCGAACTGAGCAGTGTCAACTGGATGTGGGAGAGGGAGAGAGGGCCATCTGTAATCATCCGTCTACTCCCAACACACAAGAGCATTGCAAGTGTCGGCACAGTCTCAGCGATTTTGTAAATGACAGGGAACATTCCTGCAGTCTCTTCAGGAATGGAACCTGGCTCCTCCTGCTCTGAGTCAGTGGGAAAGCAGTCACCTTGGAAAACGATGAGATCCAAATGAAAAGAGCTTTCATGATCAAAGAATCTCTTTGTTGCCTCTCTGGTGTGTATATATAGCTTTGTACTTTATGCTACATATAAAAAGCCAAAACCAAACTCACTGCCATCGAGTCCATGCCGATAGTGACCCTATACGACAGGGTAGAACTGCCCCGTGAGGTTCCGAGTCTAACTCTATGGGAGTAGAAAGCCACGCCATTCCCCCACAGAACAGCTGTTGGTTTCAAATTGCAGAACTTGTGGTTAGTCGTCCAACATGTCAGCAGGACCCAGCAGGGCTCCTCTGCCACATGTGAGCAGGAACAAACGGGGAAGTTCAAAGAGCCCGGCAGAGGCACTGAACCATTTGTCCACAGAGCAAGTACGCTCACCAACATGGGCACAAGGTAAGCAGACATAATCAACTCAAAGCTGGCAAGATGGAGCAAAGTCAAGTTGTGAATATTATTAGTTCTGTTTCAGCATGAGTATTATCAAGAACACAATGTATTAAAATAAAAGCCCATGAAACACTCCCCCTCACCTGCCACCTCAGAACACTTCTCAAAGCAATGGAATGAGAGCATCAGGGGTGGGTTTGGTTTCTTCCTACTGTTTACTCAGAAGGCATCTGTCTTTTTTCAAGTCCTTCCACAGTGTTAAGCATGGACTATCCACAAATGCTTTAGATATAGAGCAGCTTCTGAGTCAGTAGGTAGGGTGGGGCATTCGTATATAAAAGGGTCCCAAGCCCCAAGCCATCCAGTTGACTCAGACCCAGAGAGACCTTGTGTAGGGTTTCCACAGCTATGAAACTTTACAGCTTCATCTTTATTCTGTAGAGCCAATGGTGGGTCTGAAGCATCACCTCTGTGGTCAGCAGTCCAATGCTTCACTGACAGCGCCACTGAGGCTCCTTTACAAGGCGCCAGATGTTTCTAATAGTCTGAGATCCACTATTCCAACAGAGTCAAAGGCAGCACTAACTTGAGAAGTAAAATTTTTTAGAGGTTAGAGGTAACCATTTCTAGAGATACCTGTACAAGTTCTAGAGATATCTTGTAAAGTTCCCTACAGTGCTTGAAATTTTCAGAAACTATACCCGAACCCAAGGTAATAAAGGAGTTCTAATGCCTGCCTTTCAGAACACTGACATTCCCACTGGGTAAAAGGCAAAGGGAAACATTTCATCCTAAGAACTGTCTAACTTGGAAATATAATGTCACCTTTATAAACATTTGCATTTCTCCTTCTGTACAATACATTTGGCTGGAGAAAATCTGGCTCTTTCAGTTGTTGGACTTAATTATTAGAAAGCCTAAGGGAGCTCCTTCCTTTTTAAAGTGCCAAAGAGCAAAGATAGCACTTTGGGGGCTAAGATGCATCTGACACAAGCCAGGGTACTCTCCATCACTGCATACACATGGGAAAGCCTGGTGATAAACAAGGAAGGCCAAAGAACTGATGTGTTGGAAATATGGTGTGAGTACCACAGACTGACAAAAGAACAAGCGAATCTGGCTGGAATTACACCCAGAATGTTCCCGAGACCACAGAATGGCAAGACTTTGCCTCACATACTTTAGACATGTCATCAGGAAAGGCCAGCCCCTGGAAAAGGACATCATGCTTGGTGAAGTAGCGGGCCATCAAAAATAGAAAGACAACGAGGTGGGTTGACACCGTGGCAACAACAGGATGGCACAGGGCTGGGCAGTGGTCTGTTCCTGTGTGCATACGGTCACTCTGAGTTGGAGACAACGTGTGGCACCTAACGAGGGAGCACCTGTTTCTCTAACTTTAGTGTAAGGCCAATTTCACTCTTTTGTTGGGCAAGGCAATAATGCAGTAATTGCAATAATGCAATTTTACCACCAAAGAATGTTGTTTTATTATCTAAAGATGCCATTTATTATGTTGTTATTGTTAGCTGCAGTTAAGTGGATTCTGACTCAAGGCAGCCCTGTGGATGGAGCAGAACTGACAAGATGTTCAAGGGCAGCTTCTGAGGCACCTTTAGGTTGGATCAAACTACCAACCTTTTGGCTAGGAGATGAGTGCTTAACCCTCTGCTATACTTAGGGACGCCTGCCATTTATTATAAAACTAGATAAGTTCATCACTCCCACATACAATGTATTTAATCTTTGTTTCATCTACCTCAATAAAGTGCTGTGTGATACTTTCGCCATATACACACTGTGTGGCGGGGTGCCCTGGGCACACAGCCAGAGGAGTAATGACGGCTCTTTCTGGCCCTAAGGCACCATGTGTTTCAGATGACAAACCTTTGGTTAATTTTTCAACATGCTTCTGCAGCTCAATGTCCACGTTAAAATGAACATATGTGTCTTCTTTTCTTGACGCCACAGGAGTATCTTGCACAGGGGTTAAATCGATACCATTCAGATCTAGAGAAGAAAGCATGTGTCTGTTTAGCAGGGCTTAACATGTGCATGCTTAAAGGTTTAGAAACACAAGAACAAAGCTACAAAGGGCTGTTTCCTAAAGAGCCTTGGAGAAAGCTGATTGGTGTTCAGGCTGGCAGAAACTCCTGTCTGGTGTGAGCGGGTACCTGGAGGGCTTCTGTCTCCACACAGGTATATGGAGGGAAGGTGGGTAGAGATAGGTCTCATGGAGAGGACGTGGAATCTTGCCCCAACAAGGTAGAAAAGAAAGCTAGCAGACATGTTCTCCTTTAAAAAAAAAAAAAGAGGTAAAGGACTTCTCGATCGCCTGATTCGGCTAAGGCGCCCCCTAGTGGTGCAGAGGGGTTGTGCAGAGGGTAAGCCCTTGGTTCCTAACTGAATGGTCAGCAGTGGGGAACAGCCACTCTGTGGCAAAAAGATGTAGCTGGCTGTTTCCATAAAGATTCACCATCTCTAAAACTCAGTGGAACAGGTCTCCTCTGTCCTATTAGTCACTATATGTCAGACTCAACTTGACAGCAATGGGTTTTACATATAATTTTTATTGTGGTCAGATCTATGTAACAAAGAATCACTCTATTTTGTTTTTTTGCACTAAAAGTTTGGAATGTGAATGATAAAATGCAGTGGGAGACTTGCCCTTAAATGTAAAGGCATTAAATCTCCATTATTATAATTCCCCTGCTGTATTTAAGCTAGAGAACCAAACAGTAGACTGAACATTGCCAATGAAACCCTTAGATCAATGAGTAATTTTACAGGTGATGACCTAAAACAAATGAGCACGTGATTATCTCAATAGTTTCTAGAGATCTTTATGCAAAAACATGTTTACCAGATATACAAAGGCAGCCTAAGCTAGAATCTACCACTGTTGTTGGGTGCCGCTCAGTCCATTCGCCTCGTAGCAACCGTCCAGGGCAGACACGGGGTCTCATCGTCGGTCACCTGTCTGGGGCAGCTCTCCAGCATCTTCCTCCCAGAGCCAGGGCTGGACTGGAGCTACTGACCTTTTGGTTAGTACCAGCGCTCCTTGCGTCTGCCATCTTACCATTAAATGTGTTTTTGCTCCAAGTGGACATTCCTGAGTGAGACTTGCAGTTTTGCAAATGGCTTATGAAATAATCTAGGGGATAAAATACCTCCAAGTAGAACGTCTATATAGAGCCGTGGTCAGGAATACCATGGAGATATTACAGGTCCAGTTCCAGATGACCACAATAAAGCAAGTCACACTTCGTTTTTCAGTTCACCAGTGCATATGAAAGTTATGTTTACACTAGACTGTTATCTATTGAGTGTGTAATAGAATTTGAAAAAGTTTTAAATATCACGATAAATATGAAAACGTGACACAAGAGACACAAAATGATTACATGCGGTTGGAAAAACAACACAGCAGAGTTGCTCGATGCAAGGCTGCCATCAAGCCTCCATTTCTGAAAGATGTCTGAAGGAGCTTCTACGCATTCACAGAAAGAGAAGGAACAGCTCCTGAGTGTTCTTATGGGCTTTGTTTCAAGCCCCCTCTGCTCTGCGAAACACAATCAAGCAAAGTACACACAGTCAATGAAGCATGCCTGTGAATTAATAGGTGAAGCATCCGAGCATTGGTATGGTGGCCCACGGTCTGCACTGTCAGCTAATTCTTTTCTTTTAACCGAAGCTTGGGTTGTCTTAGATATTAATAAGCCCATGGGTCTGAATTGGTTTCTGTGATGGATACAAGGTATTTCCATTTGTTATCGGCTCTCTCCGTCACTTTGATCTGCCTCAGCCTAGAGACTAATGTAAACCACGTGTACTGACTGGGCAGTTACGTCTAGAAAACAGATGGCCGCGTCCTTCTCAGTCACTCAATTACTTCTCAAGACGGGTAAGTCCCTTGCAAACCAAGGACTGGGTATGATGCTTGGAAACAAGGAAAGAATTCAATCACTATGGATTCCTTATCAAATAAAAGAACAGAGTTGTTTCCAAGGAATAAATGCATGGGCACATAGGCTGGGAGAAAATACAAAGCCTAAGTTTAATTGTGCTTAACAATACAATTATTCCCTTACAGATAAAGCAATAGTTCACTCTTTTACTGCCCTCTCCACCCCAAGATTATCCTCAAGACATGGATGTTTGCAGTGTGCCTGATTTCCTGTCTCCAATGAGGATTCCTTGCAGGCGGGACTCCATTTACCACTGCAGGACTACTCCCCTGTGGGTGCAGCTCTCTGGGAGAGGGAGGAGGCGCCGAAAGTAACAAGGAGAGGAACACAGAACACTGGGTTTGCAAAGAAGGCCACAACACCCGTGAAGGGGGAGGATGTTTTGTTAACCTTTTTTTCTAAGGATGTAATTTCTACTATTAAGAACAGCAGGTATGCCTGATGAGCAAATGCGAAAGTGCACAAGTTATAAATAGGAAAAGGTTGTTTCACGTCTCTGCAAAAAATAAACATTTTTAAGAGTCCCAATTACGAAGCAATGCTATAAAATTCCCCAGAAGAAAAAGTATGGATGGACTTCTTTACCCTTTACACTAACTGTGATATAGGGGTCGATGCACTGCCCAGCATCTTTCAAACCAATCTTCTCGATTCGGATCGTGAGTAAAGTCATCCCAGGTTCTGATGGCAGCCGTGGTAATAAAGTGCCTGGCAAAGGGAAACAGCAGTAAGAACTGGCCCACCAATAACTCCCAAGTAAAGATTATAACAAACAGAGAAGATACAGTCTTGCTCTCAACAGACTTCTTAAGAACCCAAGCTTTGGGGTTTCCACGGCTCCCAAACATGGATATTCCCTTTAGAGACAAATGCTTAATTACATGCAAAATGAATCTGCCTTTCAAAACCTTGTTAAAAATTCAGCTCACCCCAGGAAGCCACATAACTAATAATGCATTGAATATACTCATATAACAATCTTAATATGAAGTGGTAGAACGAAGACATAAAAGGCTTTTAAATGCTTCTTATCCTGAAGTTGGGGAAGTTTGATATCAGCAAACTATTCAGTTACTATTGATAGAAGAAGTCAATTATAAAAATAATTTACTTAATTAAACACTTTCAAAATAATCTCCCAATCTTTTCCTCATTCAATTCTCTTGAGGATTAATACTTGTGAGACTGCTACATAAAACTATAGAAACAAGCATACATTTGAAATCTTCATCCGTACACTACTTTTAACTAAAAATATCCCCTAGAACTAACTACAAGAGCACTTTTGACTGAGGAAACGATAGAGAGCTTGTTGGTTTCTTTTCCAAATCATCCATGGAGACAGATGCCAGCCAATAATTGATTTATCCCATTCAAGCTCCGTAAGCATATAGATCCCAACCCCACTGCCATCACATGTTTCTGACTCATAGTGCCCCCTCTATAGGGTTTCCGAGGCTGTACATCTTTATGGGAGCAGACAGTCTAGTGGGTTTGAACCACCAACCTTCTCATTAGCAGTCCAACACTTACCCAGCAGTGCCACAAGAGTTCCTTAGTAATCACATTACAGAGTCTAACATTTACAAGTATGTGGTTGACATTTTTCAAGTTTCTACTGAACAATGGGCTATCCTACTTTTAAAGATGAAGTATTTGAGGCACACGAATCAATCAACTAACTGCAGTAAAACAAATGAACTGCAGAATTAAAGATGGGTGAATTTTATGATAGGAAAACTATCTCAATAAAGCCATAGTGGTTAAAATGCTTTGCAATTTCACTTTCTAATTCTGAGAAATATGAGAACACAGAAAACGTAGGAAATGGAAGCTTCATTACTCTGCTGCGGTGAGCCTTTAGTGGGCTAGCGGTGACTATCCTACACACAAATGGATCCTTAGAGACCTTTCTCATGGTCGTCTTTTGACCAGTTTTTACAAGGCACCTCTGTAGAGGTTTGGACTGGACTCTGTGTGATGAACTTCAGACAATTAACAAATGCACATACCTGAAATTTTCCTGAAAATTTGGGTGAATATATTTATCTAATTTTTTTCTGGAGAAAGATTCAGACTCTAACTTGATTCTCAACAAGGTTTATTCCCAAAAGAGGACCTAAAAAATTGCTTGAGAAAACCGGTGTTACTCTGAGTAGAGGTAAGGATTCAGCTCTGTTTTGTTTGTGGGGAAGGTTTGGTTAAGAGATGCACTGGATGCTCCAAGGTGTGAAGACAACATGCCGGCGCGGAGTAGGGAATCAGTGGAGAGGTCTAGGGGGCTGGTCCCAGCCCCAAATACTAAGTGGATGCCTGCCCCTCCCCCGAGAAGAATTTATCTCAAAGGATGGCACTGAATCTGCAGCTTTGGG